TCTTCGTAACACAATTGAGAAGTAAAATATTAAATTATGTTTCCTAAATAACAAACGTGACGTCTTGTAGACCAAAATAGATGTCATCATGTCATATTTTGATGTCACCCTGCTACTTAATTTTTTAATTTTCATAGATATTTTTCTTAGAAACAAAAACATATATATTTACATGAAAATACGTGTCCCTTATAAACAATAATTTTATCAAATTATAAATTAAAAAATAGGTTGACCAAAATTATTGTAAAATTATATATTGACCGAAAGTGACTACTTTTTCATAGCCACTGTAACTCAAGTCAGATTTAGGCACAAATACAAAGTGTATAATTGTGTAATTATAATTATGACAGTCATTACGGCTGAGACAGAACATTGTATTCCTCAGTTATACACGTTTAGTAGCCTCTTGTTAAAACATGAGAGACAAGGAGTAATAAAATCGGGATGAAAGTTTCAACTAATTCCTATGATTGTTTCTCATAATTATATAAAATATAGTAAAATTTTCTATTCATAATTTCTTCTTTACCAAAAATTTTTCACCAAGCTTCTGCCAATTTATTATTGAAATTTATTATTGAACAGTCTGCGCGTCTAACTCGAACTTGCTTGATTTAATCTTTCCCAATGGAGAAATGCGTATCACGGGACGCGCGCGAGCATCTAGATTGAGGCTCTTTAAAAATGCAACTCTGAGGAATGCAGCATTATGTAGAGACTCGTGAAATTCAAGACTCCCTCGGCACTATGCATGATTCTCACATTTCTGCATTTCCTACATTCATCTTAAATTTTTGTTGCTTTGGCTATGCAACCCTTTCAGAAACATATCTCTTACATTTTTTTACATCTTCAACAGCCTTTCTAATATGCACTAAGTTAGATGCATGAATTGCAATAAACTTGACTTGACATTTAATATGTAATTCAAAATACTTTCGATGTAATTATTATTTTTATATCACTGACATATACAATATTATAAACCCCTACAGCAACAAAGTTGCACAAAAGTTACAGCAACGTTGCTGCAATATTGCAGCAATATTGTAGAGATTTTGCAGCGATATTGCTGCAAATTCTGTGGTGGGAACATTAACGTTTTATTTTATAGAGAAAAATGAAACTTAAATAAAAACTCGAAATAAGATACCCTTCTGATTTACATTTAAATTTTATGTGTGTCGCTCTACTGCAACGATATAACTAAAAATTTTCATTTTAGTTGCTTGCGTAAAAAAATAAAAACTTAAAAAAAATGAACGTAATTAAAAAGAATATACTTTTATTCCCACAATCGTTTACTTTATTACATCAAAATTAATAATAAAATTTAAATGATTCAAAACATTTAAACTCTAGATTTTTTTTTAAATTGTATCGTCGCAGCAAATGAACGATATGAAAACATATCGTTCGATATGTGAACAAATTGATACAAAATAATAAAATTCCTCGGAATGGCGCTATTATCACCTCCTATTACGAATACCGTAAACTTCCAATGGAAGCTTTGAAAATGACCGTGTCGAATTTCGCTATAACTTCAAGCACAGAAAACAATAAAAAACACGATAAAATATCAGCAACGAGCTGTTTTCTATTATCATTTTGGTTCTTTTCTTTCTTTCGCTCCCCAGGAGGCTTTTCTTCACGGCAGGAAGTTATTTCACGTACTCTATGTTCTTCAAAGCATCTCTGAAAAAGCTTTGGTGAGAGCTTTGGTCAAGAAATCGAATTTACAAATACAGCAACGAAACTTTATTGTGTGGTAATCTTTTTCGACATTTAATAAATAATTGCTATTAATGGCGAAGTATATGTAGTGTATATACAGTGTATGTAAAATATTTAATGAACAAAATATTATTTCATGTATGCGTAAGAAATATTGCAAATATTATAAATATATAATAAAGAAAGATGTAAAACATATTTATCAACGTACTTTATTTGGTAAATATTTATTTAAAAATTGATCGAGATGAAAACAATTTAATTTTCTCTCCACGAAAAAAAAGATTTGTTGAAATAAAAACTTCAGCCGCAAATGGACAAATGGACAGCCAATTTACTTTGTTAAAGTAATAAAATTATATATGAATAAAATTAGCGCTTTATAATCGTATTTGTTGTTATAGCACAGCAAAAACAAGGGTGGATCCAGAGAATTATTCTGAGGGGGGAGGGAGGGGGGGGGTGATATGATGAAATGTAAATATTTACTTATTACTGATGTTATTCTCACTGTTGATGTTATTTTTAATATATTTTTAATTATTTTTATTACTTTATTGTTTTATTATATTTACTATTATTATCATAATCATAAAATATAAATTATTCATATTGGTATTCAGTATTTTATTAGCCAGATATATTTTTACATACATATTAACATGATATGAAATGTAATTTAAAAACAAATTTTGTTATATAATAAATTGTTATATAATAAATTCTAACTTTCTGTTTGGAAAACTCTGGGGAAGTCGCCTTCTCCGTCCTATCTTATATCCGCCATTAAGCAAAAATTTGTTAATACAGCAAAGATAACTTTCTATGAAAATCAATATATAAATTAAAATTTTGAACAAAACTGACTAATGGATTCACTTAACGTTGCAAATACTTGATTGACCAATCAGAAGAAAAAATTTTATTGAATTGATCAAAGAATGTTTCAAAGCATTTGCAGCGTGAATGGCGTGGATGGCACTCAAAGATAGCAACTTTTGCTGTTGTAATGAAGAAAACTTGTTACATCAATTCTTATCGTAGCAAAGAATAAGCTAAATTAGCATTTTCATAATTGTTACTACTAGACATATATAATTTCTTTGTTGAATCATCAAATCTTCTTATAAATGTTGAACTTACTCAGCAAACTATAGCTTTTGCTGAACTGTCTAATCTGTTTTTTTTTCGCATCTTTCTTTTCTCTCTCTCTCTCTCTCTCTCTCAATGTGTGTGTGTGTGTGTGTGTGTGTGTGTGTGTGTGTGTGTGTGTGTGTGTGTGTGTGTGTGTGTGTGTGTGTGTGTGTGTGTGTGTGTGTGT